TGCGTGTGTGTGTGTGTGTGTGTGTGTGTGTGTGTGTGTATGATGGTTCACATTCGTCATGGTTCGACCTTAATCCCCCCAGCCTGAAATAGCCACACTGAGCGCCAGCCTGGTCCAGGGAGGGGTGTCTCCCCTCTGGAACATGATCCTCAGGACCAACATTCCAGCCGCCTGCCAGCTTTGTTGCAAACTGCTGGCTCATGGTTTTCCCTATGTGCTAATCACTCAGCCTGTGTTGCAAAGTGGGAGACATTTTTTTCTTCAAATTGGTTCCCCCCCACCACCACCAAATGCCATACTGTGTCCCCATTCAGCTCTATGGCAGCTGGGCACATTCGCGGCTTGGCCTTCCATTTCTGAATGTGAACTTTCTCTGGGGGATGGAATCGGGGTAGGGAGTGGGGGAGATTGCTTCCACCAAGTGAGACAGCTGAAACAGAGTTCCCAAGGAACTGAGCCACAGCTACTTTTTCCCACATCCCCAGGAAGCCATCCTGTACTGCCCGCACTGGAATGACATCCAAGCTTCCTCATAGCTCCAAGCCCAGGCTTCCTGCAGGGGCAATCCCCTCGGTAAGGAGGCTCATTCTAGACTCCGACTTGGGCTTCTCCTATCTTTCCCTAGAGGGCATAAACTAAACCATCCCACTAGAGAGAACCTAACTCCTGCCTCGCTCAACTATTAATTTGACTTGAAACTCACCCCTCTTTCTCTGTAGGGATTTTAGCTGCAACCCTATTGTGGGGCAAATCAGACTTACCTGCGGATCTCAGCCACCAAGCATTTGGGGGGCACTTACTGCATGCACTGTGCTAGGTCCTGTGAGAGCATAAGTGAATTGTCCAGAAGGAGCTCCCAACCTCAGTGTGAGGGAGCTGTGAACCACACCTGAGGATCCTGATCAGTTATATGAGCTATAGAAGGCTCCAGGTCAAGTAAACATTGAGGAAGGCAGGAAAGGAGCAGCTGGAGACAGAGCCACAGGAAGCGGTCTGGATTGAACAAACCACATGTGTGGCTGCAGGTTGCCCCAGCCATCACTCGGCCT